TTGTTCTAAGCACCGGTTCAGAATATAACTATAGGTCTGAACCGGTGCTTAGAACAATCTCTGGCGGTTCTTCAGGAACAGCTGTTCGAGAAAGTCTTGCTCCTGAGCAAAGACAGAATTCTCCAGAGAATCCGCCCACCGTGGGTCCGGATACGTACTCGCTTTCACAAAGTTGAAGGACCATTATGGAAGAGGATAGAGCGTCTGTTAATAGAGTTGCGCCGCCTGCGAAGTAAGCAGCATGACGGGCTGTGGACCCGGCTGCAGCAGCTACTGAGCATCTTCAAGAACGTGGACCGAGAAAATGATGGAGACACACTCATGGAGACTCTTCGCAGCGTCGTGAAGAAATGTGCAGAGATATCATACTACGACGGGAGCCGTTCATTGGAGGAGCAGGTCAGGCGCATATCCTCAATTTCTTGGCTGGCAGACAAGCGGGAAGTCGCGCAGGTCGATAAACTCTCTCGTTATTATGGCCTCTGCAAAGATCTCTCCAAGATCGCATTGCATCGGCGATATCAGCCACTGTTTCGGAACGCGACTGTTGAGGTGCTCACGGCATATCCGGGACGTTATCCACGTGGCGCCACCAAGATATGTTTCGTGCATGCCGAGGTCCAGCTTATTATGCATTACGAACAGCATCCTCCAAAGCTCTACCCTCGAGCTATCGGCGGAAGCAAGTCAGCATGTCTTTTATGCGACTTGCTTATTCAGAAGATGGTTAGGTACAGCATATCGTACACACATCGACGTCTCTATCCGCAGTGGACAATCCCGAACGCACCTTGGATGAATGCAGCCCAAGTGAGGTTCTTCCAGGATGCTATCGAATCCATGATCAGCGACATTGGGCTTCTCACGAGGAAGGTGAGACAACAGGGACGTGGAACAATCAGCGCGCAGAACGAGTTTGCCAGAGAGAGCAGGGCCGTGCTGCCTCTGCTCAGTGGATCGACGACAGCTCAGCCGTCCGAAGCCTCGGAGTCCCTGTCAATCAACCCCATTCCGGATTTGCGAACCGATGCCGAAATATCAGTACTGGAAGTCGAGATCGATACAGATCCGATGATTGCCAGTGTCGGCGCTCCGAGGCCAAGCTCGGCCGCGTCGTCGTCACTCAGGCTCAGCATGATCGATTTACCATTCCATCAGCCTGTATGTGTAAATACTCCCAACCTATGTTTAATAGTTGGCGGACTGTCACTTGACTTTGAGTTTGTGGCAGTCACCTCTGGACAACTCTCTGTGAACAAAGTTAGGGTAGATAAGGAGAATGGGCACGTCGACAAGTTCTCCATCGCCGAGATCCCCACGGCCGAGGAAAAAAAAATTCGCTGTTCAGATACCCCGGCGCTCAGATTTCAATTGTGCGACCATTCAGACTTCGCAGTGGAGATCGAGTTTCTATGGGTCTAGACACTGCTATTGTATCTAGTGATATTTCTATCTGTTCAGTGAACCGGCGAATGAGAGGCGGACGGCATCGGCGCCGCCACACCATTCATAAATGCCGATCAACCCTCAGGCCCCAAATCACAAGCGTGCTTCGACCATATAGTAGGATGCATTTCGCGATCACATCAGCCTTTGACGACCGATCAGCCCTCTCTATGGTACCAGTTCGGGAACAATTTGCAGCTAGCGATGGCCGGAACTAAGGGCTCCCAAAGCACATCTGTCCGTTGGGGAGGATCGCCTAAGTATAATGTCACCAAACCTTCCTCCACGTTCGGGATGAACTTGCAGCGGCATTGGATGTTCTGTTTTTTGATATCGAAGCGATAAGGCTAGCGAGCCATTTTCCCTGCCTGGTTATTCGCGGCATATGCGACTACTCCGACTCCCACAAAAACACCGGGTGGCGTGGATACGCAGCAATGACGGCGGCTGCATACTCAAAAGATCTTCTATGTCAAGTTTCCCCGATCAACATCGAGGTAGAGCAGAAGATTCGCGACTATCTCGCTGAAGATGGGAGACTGGATTGTCTCGCGGAGCGAAGGCCAGGTCGCGAATTTATCCCGGCCGCGGCATTGCTTTAGCCGTGGGTTTGCACAACTTAATGATGATCCTTGCTGATTTTTATTTTCTGTTTTCAGACACTTGTCGCATGCGCGGCTGTGACAAAGTCTCCCTGGACACCTCACACTTTTGTACCGACCACCAAAAATGTCATTGGCCTGACTGTCTACACGACCGCCAATCCGCTCTCGTTCCTTATTGTCCTGACCACTCATGTCTCAAGAGTAATTGTCCTAGCCCGCGTGATGGCACCTGTGAAGCCCATCCACTATGCCGTTATTCGGTCTGTGAATCTCTTGCCGAGCGAGATAGAGACTATTGTGCCCAACATCTCTGCTGCTTTCTGAGATGTCATGAACTCAGGGTAGCGGACAGACTGTTCTATCAGAACCATATGTGTCATGTCGAACTATGTGTAAACCCGGCAGTTTATGAAAGTCGATATTGTGAAGAGCATGCACCTGCCACGTGAAGGGTTGCTCGAGATTTAGACTAAGGAGACCTCAGGGTATAGATGCCTGGTGTGACCTGCATGTGCCATATATGGTAAACACCTGTGCAGGATATAAGTCCAGTAACAGCGCGTTTTGCCAGGGCATAAGTGTCAGATTGAAGCCTGTATAAAGGCCAGGTTACTAAGTGAGGGACAATTCTGCACGGAACGTAAGTACTCTTATAATCTATCTATTATCTTATTATCACTATTAATTTTGTTACATATACAATATGTTCTGAATAAAACGTTAACTTTATTCATGCTATAGATACCTGCCACCGGACAGACTGTTATAATGTAATCTTAGATACAACTTCCCCAATCAGTCGCACTTCTGTCACTCTCACAAATGTCACAGCCAGAGCCCTATCTGTGACTTATAAGCTTATGATAACGGGAGCTACTGTAGGGAACACATTTGTCTTGCCTCACAAGATGGTAGAGCTTGTACCACTGCGCGTGCTTCTGAACGGTCCGACTATTGTATTACACACGAGTGTCGCAGAGAGGGCTGTCATGCAGAAGCGAAGATTGCCGAAGGGTATTGCATGGTCAGAGGCCATGCCTGTATAGAGAATGGTTGCAAGGAGATTAGACTGCGTGAAAAGGATGACAGATTCGTGCGTTGTGAAGACCACGAAAATGCCGAACGACGGAAGCAAAACGAAACACAGAGTCAGCGATGGTGGCAAAGAAATACTTAGTGAGAAATGTGCCTCCCCCGGAGATTATTTCCAGTCCCAGGTTAAGAGTACGGATCGAACCTGGATTTCCAAGGGGGTACCCAAGATACTGGTGAGGGAGCAAGGGATACACAGAAAACTGGAAAATGCGTAGAGCGGTTCAAGCAAGTAGTGTAGAGACTAGGCAAGCTATGCGTTCGATCAGTCATGTTCTTCACTTAGACGATAAGCCTCTGTTTGATGCTTAGCCAAACCATTGAATGATGAACGAAAAGGCGAAAATATGTTCTAGAGAACTAGTAGGAATAAGCTATTGCTATAAGAGACCGAATGTATGATCATAATCATGATCGCCGACATTGAGAGACGCCGGGTATTAGGAGCTATGAGAGAGATCCACTCACGTCGCCAGCTGCTATCAGTACTGATCAAGACTATACAGTATCGCACTCGGATAGGAGCACCGTTTTTTAAGCTACTAAAGCTTTTTACTCCGAGCACCCGTCAAGTCGGCTACGCCACATCATTGGCCATCAAATCCCAAACGAAAGAGCTTCGCAAGATGGTTCCTCGGGTTCCACGAAACTTGTGGGCATTGGCCAACAGTGCAGATACCTTCATGTGGCAGTTGAATAGAAGGAGTTTGACGCTGTGGATCTGGCGTCTCGTGGCGCTATAAGAAAGAATGACCACCAAGGCTAAAAAGGAGATGCAGAACGTAGGTGCGAGTATAAATGAATTTCGGGAAAGCATAGTCGAGCAACTGTATCATATCAATGTGGAGTTGTGGATGTCAAGATAGACTTGGCACAATATCAAAATACTTCGAAGACCTATATCTATATCTCTGGGGCGGACAAAAGCCATGTTAGTATTAGGCATTCCTTATGTGTCCGAGTAATTACTGGTAATAACAGACCTTCCGTTGTCTGCAGCATCGCTGGCTAGTTATCCCCATGATGCGAGAAAAGCAAGTCAAAGCTAAGAGAGTGTGTGCTTGTCCATGCTCAGGAAACATAGGCAAAAGGCCGAGTTGTACGGCAGCCTTGCGCAGCACGATCAAGGAGATCTAGGCACAGCCTCAAAGATAGAGAATTCTCTTACCTCATAATTTAAAAGTCTACTTGGATAGATATCAAGGCCACGCAATTTTTCACGTACATCGTCGACTGCATTAACGTAAAACAAGATCTCGAAATGCTCAAGCAGAGGGCAAAGGCAGTTGCCGATTACTTCAGTGTCAGGGAAACCAAGCGGGCACAGTGATAGAAGCTTGCAGTTAGGTCCGGTTCTTCACTAGACAACAGCAATGGGACGCTACGCAATATCAAAGTGCTACAGACTTCACAGCTTATGCTCGGAGCATTACATACTAGTGGCTTGCTGAACGAAGACAACTCCCGATCGTTTCTGAGGCTCACAGTAGAGGCCACAGAAGTCGAATGAGTCTTTATGTGTGTCTGGGGTCTAGGTGTGGCGAATAGGTCTCAAGCAAGATTCTTGCAAAGCAGAGCCACCCTTAAATTAAAACATTCAGTGCACAGAGGTTTTGATTCACTTTGTTATTTTCTTAAGATGTTGTATGGCGCAGGTCTCTGTGTCAGAGCCCTCCAAACCTGAATTACATATACTACTAGTAATCAAGCAGCCGCACTGGGGTATCATTGATGAACGAATGTTTGTCTCGTCGACTCCAAGTCAAGCCAACTCAAAGCAAGAATGCTGCGCCAATGCTAATCAGACACAACCAATGCGCCCCGCTGCGCCAGTTCAGCGCTCCAGCCCCACCCAGCCCCTGGCCATCTTTGCCGTCGTCCTTGCCCTCGACCTGGATCTGGGTGGAGTCGCCAGGCGCGAAGAGGATGCCCACGGCGTTGGCGGCCGAGGCGTTGATCTGCTCGGGCGTCAGCAGCGGGTTGTCGAGCGAGTCGCAGTCGGCGCGGCTGGCGCTCGCCTCGATGCTGTTGGTGACGGAGATGGGCACGTCGAAGATGGTGTAGTGGTCGTCGCCGTTGAGCTTGAAGTTCTGGCGGATGGAGATCTAGATTGATGTTAGCATTCGAGCTGCAATGCCTCCCCTATATGGACTGAGCCATACGTTGTAGACGCCGCGGTCACTGTCTCCCGACTCGGGCTGACCGTCGCCGACCAGGCAGTTGGGCCACGTCCACTTGACATGCTTGACGGTGCTCCCCGGCTCCTGGACCATGATCTCGCCCAGACTGGCATTGTTCGCCGTCGCCGTGCCATTCGAGATGGTGAAGTTCCTGTTGGTGTCATAGCTGTACAGGAAGATGGTGATGTTAAAGATCTTGCTCGGGCTGTCATCCGCATACGGCGGCAATGGCATTTTGCCGTTCGTCGAGACATCGAGGGCCACCTCCAGCAGCTCTGTTTCGCACTGTCAGAAAATGTTTCCCAAACAACAAACGACACACACTATTCTGGGTTACTTACCGCCGCCTAGCGGCGTGCCCGGTTGCGGGGCATCGAGAATGGCAAAACCGGGCGTGAAAATCTGCCCGTTGGCGATGGTGAAGTTCAGGCCGAGAGTCTGCGAAACAAGCAGCGGCAGCGCAACGCCCACGAAGTGCGTGAGAGACCTCATTTAGGCAAAAAGGTGATAATGTTTCACGGCAGACATACACGGGACAATTGGTATAAAGAGCAGAGAAAAGAAGATAGTGGAGGTCCCACGCGGGAGTGTCAAGTATTTAGCCATGCGATCGGAAGAGCGGCGTCATGGACAAGGCATGGCATAGCATGGGGGTTGTGTGTGTGTGTGTGTTGTAGGCATCCCGGATCGTGGAAACAGGAAAAGGCAGCTAAGCTTAAGACTAAGAACTTAAGGGTCCCCCAACCATAAGAAAAGCGAGATTGGGCACATATTAGCCAGGGGCTCTTAGAGCTGACGGTCCGAGTATAACAGATCGGGTTAGCAGTTCAAGGAAAAGCCCTAACATGAGAGGTGACAGACAGACTCTTCAGTCTTGACCAGCATCTCAGGATTCATGCACTTGCAGTCCGTCCGGATGCATCTCGTCCGGAGTCTTTGCGAAACGGCGGACACGTCTTGGTGGAGAGTCCTTATTTATTAGATCCTCTTAGTTTGGGAGTTAGTTGACCGAGCTTTAGTCTCCTGGACTCTTCAGATTAAGAAGACAAGTTAAGCTCAATAAGCAATACTTGCCGGATTGCGAGAATGAGCACAACCAGCATCCAGCATACAAAGCCCAGCGGAGGAGGCTATAGCCACCGTCTTAACATGCTGTCATCCAACATTGATCCATGCCGTCTAGAAGCTGGTTCTGACGCGCAGTGATGCAAGCGACGTTTCAAATAGGGTGCGATCATCAGCGCTCACTAGCGCACCCACAGCGCGCACCCCTGGCGAGCCATGCAAATTCGCACGGCGGGAATAGCGGGGTTCAACCGCTACCGTTGGCCTGCTTCCTCTCTGTCATTGGTCCCAGTACAACGTGCTGGCGGCCGGATAGCCCGCTAGCCCGCTAGCCCTAGGCCCAGAATGCGCTGTAGCGAGGGGATGAGTGCCTGGCTCGCCTGGCTGCGCACACGCTGTGGCCCACTGGCCCTGCGAGATTCGGGTCGTTGCGAGAATGCGACAGTGGGCTGGCTGCCGCTGGGCTGGCTTGAGTTGTGGCCGGAGCTTGGACCAACTCTTAATTATTTCAACGACAGCTCTCTCTCTGTCATTTCATTCCTTACCTAACTACGCTAAGTGCTAAGTTCAGTCGGTCAACTCCGCCGCGATAAAGGACCTCGGTCTTGGCTTCAGGTCCGGTATCGTATCTAACGACGCTGTTTGTGGCGCTGAGAGGGGAAAGCCCATAATCAATACATATGGTAGCATATTCCCCAATAATCTACTAACGCGCTGATTTTATAGGTTCTTTCCTGCTATTCCAGGGATACTGAGTGAAGGAGGGAAGACATTGGGTGTGTGATATCCTGCCCCCAGAGACTTGGACGGACAGCCAATGAAGACCCCAGGAACCATCGCTAACACACAGCAACCAGCCAACCTGCAGGATCCCGCAAGACCCTTGTCCCTGATTACGTCTGTCCCGTGAGGTCTCTGCGCCTGGTGTGATACTCTGTCTGTAGCGGCTTGGACGGTGCAGCTCTCAAGATGCACTCCTCGCGGCACTCACTCCGGCTGGCGAGATGCTGCCGCCTCCATCAGCTTGGTCGCAATGCTGGTCCCGGTTTCGCTCAGCACAGCCGGCGTTTCTCCCAGCAATCAAAGCCTACCTCGGGCCTCGAGAAGGTGATCAAGCTGTCTGATGAGATCGCCGACGCTGTCGCGACCAACAAGCCCATCGTCGCGCTCGAGTCCACCATCTACACTCATGGTGCCCTGGGCAGCGAGCTGCCCGCGTTCCTCGAGTCGGTGGTTCGCGATAATGGCGCGATTCCCGCGACCATCGGCGTTCTGGACGGTGTGCCGGTGGTGGGCCTGACGCCCGCAGAGATCGAGAGGATGGTCAATGAAGGCGCCAAGAAGCTATCGAGAAGGGACCTCTCGTATGTCCTGGGAATGGTAAGTCTGACTCACGCATGACGTTTCATTCCGGCTTTGTTTCCTGCCCCAAGGTTGTGCACGTGTGGCTCTCGTCGATCATGTCTGATTTCCCACAGGGCATGACAGGCCGCAAATTGCACGGAGGCACCACCATCTCAGGAACCATGGTCCTGGCCCGCGCGGCCGGCATCCGCGTCTTCGGCACGGGCGGGCTGGGCGGCGTCCACCGCGGCGGCGAGAACTCGATGGACGTGTCGGCCGACCTCACCGAGCTGGGGCGGACCCGCGTGGCCGTCGTCAGCTCCGGCTGCAAGGGCTTCCTCGACATCGCGCGCACGCTCGAGTACCTCGAGACGCAGGGTGTCCTCGTGGCCACGTTCGCCGACGGCAGGACGGGCAATGTCGACTTCCCCGCCTTCTGGGCGCGGGAGAGCGGCATCAAGAGCCCGTTTGTGGTGCAGAACGAGACGGAGGCCGCGGCGATGATCCTCGCGCAGGAGCAGCTGGGCATTGAGACCGGCCTCCTGTTTCCCAATCCCATTCCAGAGGAGCACTCGATCTCGCGCGAGGAGATGGACAAGGTCATTGATACAGCCGTCCGTGAAGCCAACGAGCAAGGCGCAACGGGAGCCTTGAACACGCCGTTCATCCTGAAGCGAATCAAGGAGTTGACGGACGGCAGGAGCGGACCCGCGAACAAGATTCTAGTCGAGGAGAACGTTGCGCGCGCTGCGAGGGTCGCCGCCGAGGTCAGCAGGCTACAGGCAGGCGGGAGCGCGGCAGGCAACTTCCAGTAAGGCGATCCTTGCTTGCCAGATGTAACTAGAGTCTGATATCTGAGTAGGCCTCCTCTTGCCAAGACAACGAGTTCGCAGCATGGACGACGCATCTCGTCATCCAAGATAGAGGAGGTAAGATAGCAAAAATTCAATTTAGATTTTCAAATTGCCCATGCCTTCGGGTCATTCTCTGGCTCAAAAACTCGAGGTAAATACTAATTCGGTCCAGGGACATGCACAAGTCGACATCCTAGTTGCTGGCTCGGTAGCACTTGATCTCAGCTGTGACTTTGCTGCTGATATTGCTAAATCAAATGCCTTGTCACCAGCACTTCACACTTCTAACCCAGCAACCATCAGCCAATCTGTTGGCGGTGTTGGCTGCAATGTAGCTTTAGCTGCACACAGAGCTGTCCGCGACTCCAAAGTTAGGCTATGTAGTATGGTCGGGGACGATATGTAAGTGACCCACGTATTTATCTTGCTGATGAATGTCTAATGGATCGTAGCGCCGGTGCAACCATCCTATCTACTCTAGAAGGCACAGGTTTAGATACATCCTGCATCCGCAAGCTGGGTCACGAGTATCACACGGCACGGACGGCTCAGTACGTAGCTGTCAACGACGCCGAGAAGAACCTTGTCATGGCAATGGCAGACATGGCCATCCTCACAAACCACTCATTCCCAGCCTACTGGGCATCCGCCGTGGAAGCCGCCAAGCCGAAGTGGCTGGTCGTCGACGGCAACTGGGCCGAGAAAGACATCCACGCATGGATCCGCACAGCACGCCAGAACGGCGCCAGGGTGGCCTTCGAGCCGGTCTCCAATGTGAAAGCCGCGCGGCTCTTCGCCAAGGGCAACGACTACCTTGGCGTCTTCCCGCACGCCGCCGTGGACATTGCCTCGCCGAACCAGTACGAGCTGGCGGCCATGTACGCCGCCGCCAAGGAGAACGGCTATCTCGACAGCGCGCGATGGTTCGAAGTCATCGACTCCTTCGGCATCACGGACGGCGCGCGCGATCGCTTTGTGAAGCTCACGTCGGCCGACATGACCAACGCCGGCATCCCTGTGCAGACCATTCAGCTGCTACCCTTCATCCCCACCCTGATCACCAAGATCGGTGCGAACGGCGCACTGCTCACAATGCTCCTGAAGAAAGACGACCCGCGACTGTACGACCATGAGCATGAGCGGTATATACTTACGAGAACGACGAATGACAACCCGGATGTGGGCGGCGTTTACATGAGGCTCTTCCCACCGGTTGAACGGGTGAAGGATGTGGTTTCAGTCAATGGCGTCGGGGATACATTCCTGGGGACCATGATTGCTGGACTGGCTCAGGGCGGCAGGGTAGAGAATCTGGTGGATATTGCGCAGAGGGCAGCCGTGCTAACGCTCAAGAGCCATCAGTCGGTCAGCCCTGACCTGGGGACTCTGGAGGGCGAGTTGATGTTGGCGGCTAGACAGTCGCAGAGCTGAATTGGCGTTAGCAAGGGTTTTTGGAGCGGAACTTGAAAATTTTGCATTTCTTGAAATGGGCGATTAACTCGAGATTGGATATGAGAAAAGAAAAATGTACATAAAGAAAGGGCAGCTCGAGCAATGAATGCACCGTACAGGGGCATCATAACCCTAACCCTCTCGATGCCAGTGGCGAGGCTTACAATGGCGGGATGGGCTTAGCGGGGCAGCTAGCGGAGCCGAAAGCCAGTTACCAATGACCGGCAGCCATGGCGGGGACCCATCTGCAAGGCTGCGGGAGCAAAAAATAAAATTTCTGGGTTCACAGGCTAGTTGCACTTGCAAGCTGGACCTTCTGCACACTCCTACTTGTGAAAGTCCAAGCAGTCACTATGGCACGAAAGAAGCAGGACGATGTCTCTGATGAGGCTGTATCTGAGAATGAGGATGTCTTTTCTCAATCAGAAGACGATGACGAAGTAATGACCCCAAAGGAAAGACTGCCCGCGGTGGATGAGAAGGACTCAGATGAAGAGGAGCTTGAGAGACTCGTGCTCGGCAACCGAGCTGGCTTCCGCGCCAATCTTTTCAAAGATGACGCATCTTTCGAGGATGGGGATCTGATGCAGGATCTTCAGCTAGAAGAGGCAGCGGTGGCCAAGGAGGCGGGGCTAGAGGACGTTGACGATTCTGCACTGTTCTTCATTGACACAGCGGCGCAGCCCACGGGCGAGAGCCAGCTTGTCAAGGCAAAGACTGCTGCCGTGACGGAGCGCACCACAGACGGCGATGCACCAGCATGGTACGATAGCGACGACGAGCGGCTGTCGATCTCGCTCGCTGGACACTCTCGGCTGAGGAAGCTTCGGGAGACCGAGGCCGACGATGTGGTGAGCGGTGAGGAGTATTCTAGGAGACTACGCCAGCAGTACCTTCGTCTAAACCCGCTCCCCGCATGGGCAAGGGATTCAAGTCGCGCGCAAACAAAGCGCAGGAGATCCTCAGCATCTTCGGCCTCGTCTGTCGACTCTGACGAGGCAAGCGATGACGACTCCGACCCGTCCGCGCTGCCTCTTGAGAGCTTCCTTCGCGATGTCCGCCAAATGGCCGGAGCTGGACCGCGGAAGAAGAGGAAGCTGCGCCCAGAAGTCATCGACATCCAGAGGACTCGAGACATCCCTGACTCGCACAAGGGACCCGTGGGATCTCTGTCCTTCCACCCGCAGTACCCCGTGCTCCTCTCGTCTAGCACATCGTCTATACTCCATCTCCACCACATTGCACTAACAGCACATCCGACTCCGAACCCCCAATTGACCTCTGTTCAGATCAAGCATACGCCTATTCAGAGATCGGCATTCCTCGACCCAGAAGGCCAAGAGATTATTCTTGCTGGTCGGCGACGCTACTTTCACAGTTGGAATATTTCGACAGGGCTTGTCAAGAAGATTACTAGAATCCAGGGCCATCGACTAGAGCAGAAGACCATGGAACGTTTCAGACTCAGTCCCTGTGGGCGATGGATGGCGCTTATAGCATCAAGTCGTAAAGGCGGTGGCATGCTCAACATCCTGAATGTCAAGAGCATGCAGTGGGTGGCACAGGCAAGGATCGACAGCCGTGGTGGCATTGCGGACTTCTCGTGGTGGAGCGATGGCGAGGGCGTTACAATCCTGGGCAGGGACGGAGCCGTTTCTGAGTGGAGCATGGCCTCAAAGAGAACAGTTGGGACATGGAGAGACGAGGGGTCTATCGGAGGGACGGTCATGGCACTGGGTGGACACCACGGGCCGGACGCAATCGGTGGAGACAGATGGGTGGCTCTTGGCTCTAACAGTGGTGTCTTGAATATCTACGACCGAAACGATCTTATTGCCTCGGCCTCAAAAGGAGGAGAGATCAATCCCCTACCGGAGCCAAAAAGGCGCTTCGAGCAGCTCACGACCCCTATCACCGCCGTCACGTTCTCTCCGGATGGACAACTGCTTGCTTTCGCCAGCCAGCACAAGAAAGACGCATTCCGGCTTGCTCATCTACCTACATGCACGATCTACAGAAATTGGCCAACTGAGCAGACCCCGCTTGGCAGAATCACGGCGGTGGCGTTCGGGAGGCAGAGTGATCTCCTGGCAGTCGGGAACGACACAGGCAAGATCAGATTATGGGAGATCAGGAACTAGACACAGCGCAAATTGACTCTTCTAAATTGCATAGCCCCTATGTTCTCCGGTTCGCCCCTGGCTTATGATCCCCAAACCTCCGTGTCTCAAATGTAATGACCCCCTCGACCTCAAAATATGTGCGCCATCAGAGCCGCCAACGGGCTACCCTTCCCAACGTATCGCTTGGGGAAGACCTTGCGCGTCTCGACGGTGTATGCTGCGAGCGCCTGCTGGTTGGGGAAGAAGGCGACGTCGTTTGGCCTATTGACGGCATTGAGGAAGTCGGGTATGTTCACCCAGACCGTCTTGAGCGCCTGCTTGGGGACGAAACACCCGAGGATTATTTCAAGGCTATCAGACGGGATTTGGGGCAAAGGATCCTCACCTTCCGGCACTGTGTCTTGCTCGTGAAGCTGTCGCCCAGACCCAGATCCCAGCATAGCTGCCGCCAGTGCTCGAGGCTCCCAAAGCCATCGTCGCCGAAATATGCCTTCCATTTCTTGACAACATCGGGCTCTCTGGGGGGTTTGGGCTGTCTGCGGCCTCTCTTGGCCATTCCTTATGGAGCAATGGACCGTTCCGATTGATAAATTTTCTGGCAAGGCTTGGAATTTCTTAGATGCAGAGGTACGTCCACGATGTTCACACACATAGAGTCGAACATTGTCACAAAAAACCAAGTCTTCACAGAGGTTGAGGAACAACAGCATGGCCAGCGGAGGAAATGCCTTCGTTTGCTGCTGCAGTCTTCCGCAGTCCTCGGCAAGTGATCCCATGATGCCAATGGCTGTATTCTCAGATAATTAAGACTCCTAGACATAATATGCAGGCGTCCATTCGTATGGCGGCCTGGATTCAGTAAACTAGTCCTGCCATTTGCAAGTGACTCATGAGCTCAGGCTGCGAGGGGACCGTCATGCTAGATGCTGTCACGCAGAGTACAAGTCGGCTCAGACCTTTCCTTGAGTCTAAAACAAAATCATGTTGACTGGATATTCTAGATGATAATGATCGATCCATAGGGGATAAATAATTTGAGAGATCTTCAAGATACTCTCTCCGGCTACTTGGCTGACCGGCTGGTCTGACCAGCCGAGGTGTAATTCTATCATGTCTTCAACAACTGCCAACAGTTGACAACACTTGCGGCAACTCTGGTATATGGAGAGTTTGAAGAATGTAGAGGCACAAACGATCAAACATCTCTAGAGTCGTTGGTATCCCGGTTGCCCGGACACAGTAGTGAGAGTGGGTGGTCTAATCGGTGCTAGAGCTGCAGAGTATCAGGCTATCGTTAGACGGTCAGCCCAACATGATGGCCAGTGGTCCCAGTTCCCCACCGCCTGGGCACAGCACTGTAGAGCCCCGCGCGGCGCCAGTCGGGAAAGCTGATCTTGTTCATGATCATTGACGGGACTTTCCCCTCTTCTTTCAGCCATTCTCTATCTCTATCTCTATCTCTGCCCCGCCCCGTACACGTACACGGGCAACCGCGATGCCGACCGATTGTCTTTTCGTATCGGCCGGATCTCTAGTCGGCTCTAGGCGGGGCCCGTAATATGGACACCAAGTGCAAGTGCAAATGCAAGTGCCAGCGCGCTTCGGAGAGATTGACATGTTAGCAGAGTGCTAGCATAGCGGTGAGGTGGCCGTCTCCATTGGATTGGACTTCGATTGGGCTCGGGTGCCACCAGCGCAGAGGATGACGGCCAGGATGGATGGAGCCTGCGCCACGCAGCCCTCCTACTGGATGGTGACACGACAAGCTCTATTTCAGTCCCTGGATCTGTCCTCGCCCTTTTCATCTTATTAGACGCGTTGAGAGGCAATCGACTAATCAGTCAGTCAGTCAGTCAGTCAATGCTGGCAGGCCTCAGCTGGCTTGCCGATTGCCATGTATGCTGCTGATTAGCCAACGGCCTGGATTTCTTGGGACGAGCCAGGGCAGCATTGTCGGTCATGCCAGCCAGTGAGCCAGTGATCCAGCCAGTTCAGCCAGGGCGGACCCTGCAGCGACTGGGACTCGGCATCGAGAGGCGTGTCATGCCATGAACGAATATGGAGCGCGCAGTGTGGTCCCACGCCGCCCCGGTGCGCTCCGACTCGACTCGACTCGACTGGAGGTCCGCTAACAAGGTGCCACTCTCTGCTTAGGCCTTCCAGCCAAGTCAAGCGGCTTCATGCTGCTCTTTTTTACGTGTTTTTCCTACAGGATTGCGGTGTACTACACTTGACTGTACATAATAATAGTAGTACAGTACAGTCTGTGTGCTGGTGGAGTTGCTGCCCCGCGGCTAGGGAACTCGAAGTCGTAGCATTGCGGGACGGAGCCCAAACATGCCACTTCGCACGCCTCGACTTGTTTACATTTATTTACTAGGCGCACATATAGGCCCAGCCCGCCCCCAGTCAGTCTCTCTGCCCGCGTTTCTTGTTCTTGGAAAGGTGATGTCCTTAGGCATAGACTTTCCTTGATTCAATTTACTTTGTTGTATGAAGATGGCATTTCACAGCGAAGCTGCCATCATTTCGTGTTGTTTCTTTTCTACTTCTGTTGTTGTTGTTGCTGTCACTGTCGCTTGAACCCCATTCGCCTTCGCCAACCCGGGCCAGATCCGGCACTCAGGGCTGCGTACGAGACAGTTTCAGATCTCCCTAAGAATAACACCCACACACACACATACCCGCCAGCATGGCATGGGATTCCCGCCGCCGGCGCATAGCCGGCGCACTATCATGGCACAAAAGGGGACACCATCCCAGTCCCGAAGCTCAGCAATTTCACGTTCCTAGCTTCGACCCCCAGGAAGTCGATCCCGAAGTACAGCTGTCCAAGATGTTGTCCCCAGTCATGGAGGAAGGCTTTCCTAATGCCCACGAAGCACCTCTCCAGGTGAAGGTCACTATCAGATTTCTGGACCATGAGGTCCGCTCGGTCTGCAGCCGCAGCTACACAAGCTCGCAACTTTTCGAGCCCACCGAGAGGATATGCAAGGGTTTGCTACGCAGAATAGAGCACTGCTCTGAGGAATTGATCACGAGGAAAGACTCAGATGCCCTCAACCAGCTGCACTGCATCCGCGAGGGACCTAAGCAGTTGCGGTTCGACATGCACTTCCGCATCTACAGGAAAGAGAAGGGCCTATGGGCCGAGCAGACCTTCAGGTCCTACCAGAAACAGCCCCTGACGGCCGAGATGACCCACGACGTAGCTCGTTCCACGCATAGGACCATCGGCTTGTTTCTGAGACGATATGATGAGCACTTCCAGTGGATCGACGAGCCCTACAGGGACCTCATCAAGGAGACGCCAGCTTTGGTAGACCCTTCTCCGAATGGCCCTCTAACTTTGGCTTCTGTACCTCGCTCCCAATTTATCGAGTCGTCCCAGACATGGGAGTTCGTGCCTGGCTACACACTCCAACTCTCTTTCCGGAGCGACAGTCGATCCCGCCAACAGCGTGAGTGGAGGAGAACATTGCGTGTTAGCAGCAAGCAGAGCACGCCCCTGAACCTTGGTCTTGGTGAGAGTATGCTGTGGCAGGCTGGCCGAGCCGTCCAGAATGAACTTGACATGAAGAAGGAGGACTTTGACAGAGAACACGAATCATATGATGGCTTCGAAGGCATCTTTGACCCGCAGTACTTCGAGGAGGATGTGCTGGATATTTCGTTACGCATCATGAACAACCTCGGCCCGGCATACACCCACCTCAGCCGCTGCTTCCAATCCAAACTGCGCCTATTTTCACATCCCCAAGGAGAAGATTGCGCCGCATTTCTCCGTAGTGTGCAGGCTCACTTCGTCGGCATCCGAGACAAGCTCGACACGAGGATCAAGGGCATCAACGACTTCGACTTTAGGATATTAGAGCTCCGTGGACGCGGATGGGAGGAGAAGAACTCCGCGAGGTTCACCATCGACGGGACAGAGTCCTTCTCCCGCCAAAGCGTGCAGGCGATGCTTGACCGCATCCACACGTCCATCGTGGACATTCTCCACGGCCACGACATCGCCATCCACATCGTCGCGCACAAGCGCGGCCATCTCATCCTGGACAAGGCCCTTGTTGCTCACGAGGAGGAGCACATCGGCAGGCAGCTCGTGCTGTCCCCGGAGCAGCAGAAGGAGATTTTCCATTGTCGGTTGCGGGCTAAGATCCAGGCCGCCTTGGACTGTCTCTGCAGGGACACTCTGTCGATAGACGACATCCCGGAGGACATTGTCTTGGAGGTGGAGAGCGAGCCGGCTGTCATCGAGCTGGAGACCGAGGACCACGAGAGCTCGCCAGCAGAGGCGGTGACACCTCCATCTCCGAACTCGTTCATCATCGACGGCCATAGAGTGTTCCCGTTGATACCTGCGAAGTACGAGGAGCATATACGCCTGAGTAGTGCTGCTACCTCTGTTAGAAACTCGGTGCTGGATTTGGAAGAGACTGTGACCAATGCAGTGGATTCCGAGATCGTTGACCAGAAACATCTCGACAGGCCCGCCGCACGTGCGGCAGAGGAAGCTACCGAGACCGTTAGTGAACCGAATCACACAGATCTTGTCATCCAGGACAAGGACGAAGAAGAAGAAGTCATAGAGGCTCCATCGGACTTTAGTATCAGTGAGGCCGAAGAAGAAATCTCCGAGGTCCATGAGCCAGCACTCTCTACGCAAGAATCGACGAATGAGGAATCCACTTCAAGTCGACCATCTACCCCAGGTCTGAGCTCTGGCGGCACGCCATCGCCAAGAAACAGCCTTCTTTTTACCCCGACATTCCTGCGGACTCTGTCGGGGACGCAGGAACCCTTGATCACAGACTCGGACATCAGCTCGGCGATGCAGACGCCCGGCCCTAGCGTCGACGTGGAGAGGTTCAACTTCAACTTGGTGACGACCAAGAAATCAAACGAGTCGCAGCTTCGAGACGGCAATTACCCGACGCCACCAGAGTCCGAGGTGGCCTCTGTGGATATGGAGAGCCTACATGAGCGCGAAGAGCCCGAGCACGACTCTGACGAGACGGAGAAGGCAACGACGACGCTCATTGAGGACGCAAGCATCAGTGGCATGTCTGATTTGTCCAGCTTCTCTGACGAGCGGAGCGAGTCTGCGCTGGACGTTCCCGAGACAGTCTCCAATACGGAGTTTGACCAATCGGTTGAAGGGTCTGCAGAGACGTCCGAAACTGCTTCGGCTGCGGAGTTAGAAGAGCCATCGCAGCCCGAACCCGACAACGAGATATGCGACTCTCGGCTTTCCGCAGACGACCAGGAGCCGGATGCCCGAGACATTGAGGACTTTGAGGACTCGACTGAGCCCGAAACCGAGCATGTTGAACGTGTCGAGGAGCTGCAATTGGTTGATGATGTCCGCTCGGAGTTATCTGAAGCGATGTTCTCCGAACCCGAGACTGCGACGGACTTGGAATGCGCAGCAGACGTTGAGGCCAGACCGGCTAGCCCGGTTTTGCTGCAGGAAGACGTTGATATCGATAACGTCTCGGAGATCTCTTTGGCAATTGAACCCGCAGGCGCTGATGATTCGCTAAGTGAGCTGACGGAACCGAGCATCGTTCCGGAGCTGCATGCGTCTTCAGAAGCGGTAGAGGAGCAAGAGGAGCAAGAATATCAATCATTCCCGGAGCTCTTGGACTTTGATGGGCCGGTAGAGTTTGTGGAGGATCCTTCCAGGTCAAAGGTCGACTTCTTCGAGGATGATGAGGACTCGGAGGCTGATATTGGGACGGAGCCTGAGACGCTGCCTTTGTCTGACAAACCACAGGATCTGAATACCAAAACCGACGTGCAAGAACTGGAGGCAGAACCTGAAACCCTGTCCTTGCCTGGAGAGCAGCTCGAGCTGTTCAGCGAAGAATTTCTGACAGAAGCACCAGCTTCGCGCGAATCGGCCGAGGCCACCAGTGGTGAATCCCAAGACATTGAACCATTGAACACACTGGAACTCTCCGAAACCGAAGCGAATGACAAAATGCCGGATGTTTTCGAGGTACAGCTGACAGAGACCATCGTCCCGGAGCTGCCAAACGATGATAAACCCGACGTAGACGAGATAGTTTCGGCCGGAGAGCCTCCTGCGGACAATCATCTGGATGACAGTGTCGGGGATGTGAAGTCCGATGACACATTGGCTCCGACGTCCGTGTCGGCCGAAATCATCGAGACTTTGTCCGAAGTTTCACTACCAGCCATGGTATGTGATGCATCATCTTTGGTCAACGAAGCTGTTGTGGAGGCCGCTATCCCCTCGTCGGAGTCAGCGTCGATAATTGCGCCCGAATTGGAGACTGTGGTGCAATCAGAGAGCGACGTCGTCGAAAGTGCAACAATCCCGCCGCCGCCTCAATCACAGCTACTGCCGCCACTCGCCACGCCTTCATGTCGTAGCAGCGTTTCCTCATGGGAGGACTATGAGTCCGCCATAAGAACGTCCAAGGACTCAGTCGATACAATCGTCAATCCGGACGACCCGGTGCTATTCCCGCCACCAGGGGCGGACAGCCGCTTCAGTAGGCCTACTACCGGCTACCTCGGACTGCACGAGGAGCATCTGGTGGAGGTTGGTCTGCGCGGTGCCCTTGTCGGACCAAACCGCGGCTTCGAGGTCTACTCCGACTCGCGACCCGCAACGGCCCCGTCTGTCCCGTCGTCGCCGAACAAGGTGTCTCGCGTGCTGCGGCTTCGTAAGCGGAGCAATTCGGCATTCAAGTCTATCGTCAAGTCGCCCAAGTCGAAGAAGGGCAAAGCAGTATCTAAGATCCCTAATGTTCAGACCGAGAACGGTCCTCGGTCCTCGGGTGAGCATGAGAAGGAGAACGAGCAGGAGAATGAGAAGGGGGTGCTACCACGGATGATGATGCTGTTCGCAGGCATGGCGATCGCATCGCAGGTGGTAAACAAGTCCCGTTAATGGACACCACGAGGGCTCACGCCTAACTGAATCCTTGCATCACATTGGCGTTTGTAGGGAATTGTTTTTGGACTGCATAAGACTGGTCATGGAAAGGGAAGGGACACAACGGCTCTGGGGGTTAGCATTAACATCGTCAGATCCGGATGTCTCTTGACGGGTAGCATATATGACGAAATGATCAGAACATACTTCAAACTACTTTTTCAGATCATCACGATTGACATCGATCATGATAATGTTGTAGACCTCTAGGCATTCAAGCGCATCACCTATCCCATTGACGCGCTACAAAGTAGGCCACACAGGACGTATTGACTATTCAGACGTTTGGATTCTTGTTCTCTAATTACAGCTCATCCTTGATCCTTTCCGCCTCTTTGGCAGCTTCTTTGTCTTCTTCCCACATCCGCTTCTTGGGATTGGGCTGGGCCTGCTCGCTGGCGTTCCTGACTCCATCTATGCCGTCTTCTTGCTTTTCATCTTGGCCATCTATGATCTTCCCAACTTTCTCGACCATCGAGTCAGGGTCGCCTTTCTCTGTTTGAGTCTGACCTTTTCCAACCTGGACGGTGGGGACCGCATCTAGCTCATCCTCACACACCATGATTCTTCTTGCATCTCCATCAACCTCCACCCTCGCACCTCCATCGCCACCTAGTCGTCCGACCGCACTACCAACCCTCCAACCCGTCCCAAAAATCAATCGTACTGGTAGCCAGACAAACCACCACAACGGCCCATACAGTAGGCGCCGGAAGACCAGCCACCCAGCCGTGACCATAAGCATATATAGCGCCGTCTGTAAATACCACGTGTCGCTCTTCTGGCTATGTAGGAGCGTTCCAAGCAGGTCCTTGCTGCTCGCCAGCAGATCATCCAGCCGATTATAGCTCTGTCCCAGTTGCTTCAGTTGCTGCGTGCTATCGCCCAGCGTCTGCATCGCCGCGGCACTCATCTGCAGCTGCGTCTGCGTCAGTGCGTGCAGCCGACGGAAGGAGGCGGTGACATCGCTGCTCGCGGCCAGCTCCGGGTTCTCGGCCTCGGCCTTCGATCGCGCGGCGTCTTCGCGGCGTCTGCGGGGGTAGAGGCTGGGCGCCGGGGAGGAGGCGCCGGACCGTGTCGGTGTGTTGGCTTGTGATGCGGCGGCGTAGGATGCAAGGAGCAGCTCGCGCTCGAGGCGCTGGGCTGCTGCGAGGGAGTGTGCGGCTGCTAGCTGTGCTTTGCGAAAGGACACGCGACAGCTGATCACATAGTTAACATCCATAGTTCAATCGGGTGTGGATAGTTGCCTCTTATGTCCTCACCTCTTCAGTTCGCCCTCTAACCTTCTGGCACCATCCTTCAACCGTGTTTTATTGTGCTCGGCTTCGCTGCCGGGGCGTCCGCCGCGCAGGTCCGCAATCTCCTCCTGTAATAGCTCAAGATCCTCCTCCTCCTCCCTCAGTATCTGGTTGATCTCCGCGCCGAGCTCGGTAGCGACATTGCTCTCCTTCTCATCGAGGCTGCTGATGCTGCTGCTCAGGGGCACAGAACCCGGTTGGAACTTGAGGTTGGCGAGACGGTCAATTAGCTCTTTCAGCTGTGAAGTGGTGTCTTGTAGGGCGGCGAGCCGCTCCTGCAGTGCCTCGAAGGACATTGTTATCTCAGCGGTTTCTCGCTCTTTACAAAAGAGACATTGCACTTCTTCGTTTTGGTAGGGGAGGAGTGGAAAGTTGGCAGCTTGTCACTCTTGGTCAAAAATGTGGCCTGTGCTGTCGACGTCAACGTGTACTAATCTGTAGCGAGCAACGCCACTGCCGTAGGTTATCTGATTGCTCCAAAAGTTATCACGTGTGCTAGACTATCGTCACCAACTCATCGAAGCAATGACAACCAACATTTTACACATTGTATCATCCCTTCTCTAGGTGAAAAACTGACGATGCGACATATCATATGAAGAGACCATCAATGAGCATATCTCGTTAAAACTTTCAAGTGAAAGAATACGCATAACACAGTCTTTAATACCGTGATTGTCCTGTTTTCTTCTTTCATTGGCTCAAGAGTCGTAGGTTTGTCGAGATGATCTGAAGCTCTTCAGCATTCCTTATTAGATCTCATTTCATGCTCTACCGAGAATCACAACCTGAGCAAAGCAATCCCAGTCATGGCATTGATACTAAAATTGAGTGGACGAGACATTCTGGCCGCGTTGATACGGCTCGATGACAGGAAGTACGCGATATTGCTTGTTGTATGACGACAATCCCAACAGTCGTATCGATGGTTCGAGCTAAAACGAGCCTTGGTAGAAGTGTTCCAAAGACATGATATGCAAATCAATACAACTAGGTCCCATAATTGTATGAAAAGATGCTGAAGACTGAACAAGCATATCTAAATCCTGCAGCTTTGAAATCCAGGACCGCATTCGGCCGACCAACGGCTGAAATTGCTGAACAAACTACACGTTGCTAACAACCCTGCACCTCACACATGTTGACATTCTTTTCTCTAGATCCATGATCAGCCCAACCAGATATGTTGATACTATGAATATCAGGTGCTCTTAATGCTCATCTCGCCACCTACTCCTGCTCAGTTTGAAAAATTGCCGGACCTCGAAAGAAAACGATCCTATTAGTTCTTTTCTTCGTTCTTCTATTTAGGCGCATCTGTCTTTTGTTCTTCAGATAGCTTCGGTAAATCGGCGAGCCTCGAAGTTAAGGTCTTTTTCTTCAAGTCGTTTTCGGTCGACGTATTCTCAGCATTGCGCTGAACATCGCCATGGCTTGAACCCCCAGGTGGCTCTTGCTCGTTTCCAGCATGACTTCCAAGATTAGAATCATCATGATCGCCGTCGCCACCCTCAGCAAAGGCATCGATCCTCTGCTCCTCCACGTCTCTCTCGTGTTCCCTAGCCTCGCGCTTGCTCTGTACTGTTTCGTGCCACTTACGTAGGAAAATCCCGGTAATGTAATGCCTAGTTCTGAAGTCCATGGAATTTTCTCTCGCTTTTCTCTTCGCCTCCCTGATATTTTTGACCCAAAGATAGATAGAACGCCAATCCAATAGCATTCTCAAGACAACAATGGATGTGTACCAGAGACTGGAGACGATGCTTTTGATGTGCCTGAGGAGCCACCAGAAGAAGGTTGCCAAACAAGCCAGAATGAGGAACACGTATGGTGCCGCAGTGTATACGAATATTGAGGCCATTACGAATGGCTTCACGATTAGCTTGGCAATGCTCATGATTGGATTCACGAATAACGCGAAGATGATGAACGGGATGGCCACTGCGACTGTGACGATGACTAGCGACGAGAGCAGATAAGTTTCCTTGTCAGTGGTGCCATCACAACTGATTAGGGAAAAATGTCTCAAAAGGCATCTTACCGGTATACTTCACTGCATATCCTAGCTCCATATGGTCTCCATTTTCGCCCACTAACGGGAATTGTTCAATGGGTAAAGCAAAAAAGGCGGCCATGAATGATGCGGGCAGAAAGATGATGGTGACGATAGTGAAAACAGTGATGGTGTTTCCAGAGATACGCGTGGTTCGAGCCTCGAAGACATTTGCTTGCTTTTGCTTTAGATCCAGCAGGTCTTCGAGCTTTAGAGCATCAAGGAAATTGGTCAGTACAAATTCTGCTTTGCGTACTCGTGGGCCGTCATCTTACATGGCGATACGGCCGATCTGTGTTGCCCTCGATCTCTTTGACATAAGCAATGCGTCTTTTGATAGCTGTTGAAAGGCTAGATGATGCCGATACTGTTGCGTCAAGAGCGTTGGTAACACCGGTGGCAATACTAGCAGCCTTCGCCTCCTGGATTATTCTAGTGAAAGAAACCACGACAGTTTCCTGTTGCTTGAGTAAATTGCTTAGAATTCCCAGCTCCTCCTGTATATCTTTAATCTCTCTTATCAACTCTACCTCTCTTGATATGTCAAATGACTCCTCGGGTTTTGGCTTCGGGTCTTTTGCTTCCTTATCGTTCAGAATTCTCTCAGCAAGATTGTCAAGGACACTCTTTTTCGTCTTCCTTTTTTGCTCTTCTGATTTCGTCTCTTTAACGGTCCTCTTTCTCGTCTTCTCTGTCGTTTGCTTCTTATCGATGGCATGGTTTGCGCTTTCATCGTGCGTCGTATCTGTGTTCTTCCGATCCAAATGAAGTATCTGGCGCCCCCTTTGTTTCTGCAAAGTCCTTTTCCGTTGCTTTGCATCCTTTTTCTCTGCTCTGCTCATCTTCTGCGTCTTCTTATGCTCTTTGTTGTCTGGCTTTTGGGGATTTCGCTTCTCATTTGGTTTATCTCCATCTGATCGTTCAGGAGTGCCTTTCCTTCTTCCTCTGTTTGCAAAATAGTTGAAACAACGAACCTCTTCATTTGCCTAGTAGTGCCAATCAGCAACGACTGGCAGCTGTCAATCGAGTTACACGCTACACTCACCACGTAATTGACGGAATAGTCAAAGATCTCGAGATAAGGATATCTCTCATGTTCTCGTTCAACCTGATCGAAATTAAGACCAAGGCAGCGCGTCATGATCAGCTCCGACAAGTCAAATACAGAATTAATCGGACTCCTATTCTTTCGCCTAAGGTGCGCTAGAACACTGTCCAATATATTCCTAGTGTCTAGAATATCGCTCCCCGCTCGGGTTTTATCCATAGAATCATCCCAACTTTGTGGAAAGCTTGTGACTATTGTCTCTAGTGAAGATTTAGCCAGAAGATTTGAGGACAGTAATCCCTCACCAATATGCAATGCTTACTATCGTCCAGAATCCAGAGCCATAATTGATCTATCATCATGACCGGCTTATCAGTACCAGGATATCTTCTACCAAAGTAGCGAGATATAACTTGGTCAGAATTACGATCATCTGTGTTGTCCGTCATATAGTATTGAAACTGATCCAAAGTGCGGCGTACATGAACTGGTGAACGAGGGGCTTCCGGCGCTTCTGGAGTAAGGTAATACTTCAGAAGCACTTTGCTAGGGTTATCATTTGTCTTTCTTTCTCTTCGCTTGCGTTTCTTTTTCCCCTTGAATGTATGCGTGAGGTGGCTCCAAGAGGATACTGCGTCGTTGATTACCTCATTCATCTCCACCCTTTTCTCTTCAAGTTCCCAGTGTATATAAGGCATCTATGGCGTTCATATCAGAAAAGGGTCGTTTTTTCATAAGCGCAAAATTGACTCACAAAGGCGACCAGACAGCCCGATTTTGGTGGACCTGTTTCCGTATTTAGTAGTAGTTGATGAACTGCGTGAGGAGGTTGCCTTACATCCAGGTATTGCGCGACATAGAGGTCTCATGAATCGGCCGTGGACAGTATATACCGGATCATGTAATTGATAGTTCCAGAGCTCGTCCCGTAACACGTCTGGCAATGACTGGTCGTCATTTCTTCTCGAACTAATGGTGTCCATAAGAGCCTAAAGGAGTTTTATGAGCATATTGGCACAGCATAGTGGGTCATTATTCACCTCGACCCAGTCCATCTGAATTGTCATTAGCTTCTTTACATTCATGGGGTTCGGAAATGACAGTAACCCACATTATTAGCAGGGAGGTGTATCCACCTGAAGTCGGATTCTGGGTAAGTCTCGTTTCCGGCTTTGTTCTGCAGTACATCGTCGTATAAGCCATTCCAGTTCAATATCAGATGTTCAACAGGCTCAGACTGAACCCGATGCTCTTCAAGAGGAGCCGAAAGAGCCGACGGCCCTTCAAATTCTGTGGACCTCTTGACATTAAAGTGCAGTACTGTTGCCATGAAACCGGTATCATCCTCCGAAAGGCATGCATGATCGCGCTGTGTTGCTGTGGATAATGATCTCCTCTGGTCATTTGAACTTGCTAGCAATGCCCCATTAAAACTCATGAAGAGCCTCACCACAGCTTCATGATGCTCCCTCAGCGCCAGATCTATGGGTACATCGCCATCTGTGTCGATGATGACGACGTCGGCGTCCTCATGTAGCAACAAGTCCACGACTTCGTCATGTCCATGTTCAGCAGCGTCATGTAATGCGGTTTTTCCATCACTGTCGGTACCATCAACATCAATATCGAAATCGAGGAGTAGTTGTACCACCAATTTGTTGCCCGACTTCACGCCTTTACGGAAGGCGGTTTGTAAAGTGTGCTGTGTTCTGTCGTTGCCACCGTCTAAGTCGTTCCATCTCTCCAAAAGGGCCCGCACGACATCATCGTGTCCCACTGAGCATGCTTCAATCAGCAGAACCGCTGGGTCAGCTATGTTACTCCATGTAACTATAGTGTTCGATCCCAGATATCCTGTGAAGGTGGACATATCCATGCCCGTCCAGTTCCAGATGATATCTCGGGTCCGATCAAGAGCGAAAAGCACTTTCTTCCCTAATTTGGAGCCGGCTTTCGAAAGCACACTTCTAAGGAACTTGATATGTTTCTCGTCGCCTTCTTGGAGCTGAGGTTTCGCTGATACTTTTAAATTGACCATATCGACGTGTATCTCGCAGCAATCCCCTTCCTCGGACTCTTCATGTAGCCTCGAATTAGACCTCAATATTCATAGTAAACTAGGATTGCACTTACGTTCGACTCCCACGGCCTTGCAAAGTGCCTGGGCATCTTCAGACTTTCCTGTCCTGAATTTG